CCAGACATGGCCATCAGATTGCCAGACCGAGAACAGCGATTAGTCACTCCAGAGAACACATCTCCACTGCTCTAGAGTTCGGTGGTGGCGTGCTTTACACCACTGCATCCAACGTTTTGCGTTGCACTTGGTGATGTAAGGCTTGTATGCAGATGCTCGGTCATAGAAACCCATTCCATGAAGCACTCTACGCACTGTTGTGCTAATATGAAGGCTACACAAAGTTTTGGAGGTCTTTAGCTATTGACTCTGCAGACATTTGGCGACTTCTGCGCACTGTGCGATTCAGCATGCGCTGACCTCCACTTTGTCATTTTACGTGGCCTACCACTTCGTGGCTGAGTTGCTGTTGTTCCCAGTTGCTTCCACTTTGGTGTAATACCACTAACAGTTGACCGTGGAATATTTAGTAGCAAGGAAATTTCACAGATGGACTTATTGTACAGGTGGCAACCTATCCTGGTACCACACTTGAATTCACTGAGCTCATGAGAGCGATCCATTCTTTCATAAATGTTTGTAGAAGCAGTCTAATTGCCTAGGTACTTGATTTTATATACCTGTGGACATGGAGGTGATTGGAACACCCGAATCCACTGATTTGAAGGGGTGTCCCAATACTTTGGCAATATAGTGTATGTAGCAGCCACATACTTATACCTCTACTTATTCAATCTTGGTGCCTAACCAAATAGCCAAGTGCGATCGGTGTAGTTACACCTGACATTGAGCCCCAATAGGTTTATATTGAGGTCACATTTTTAAAAATTCTTCTAATGTCCTTCATATATCGATGTACTTGAGCAACTATATTTAGTGTAACATTACAATCTCTGCTACAAATCCCAATAGATTTATATTGAAGTCACATTAAAAAAAAAAAAATTTTTTTGGAAATATAGTGTAACTACAGCCCTGGCGATAAGTTTTGAGAATGACACAAATATTAATTTACCTGCAAGGAAGCACATGCAGTCATCATTGCTTTGCACAAAAAGGGATTCATAGGCAAAGATATTGCTGCTACTAAGATTGTACCTAAATCAACCATTTATCAGATCATGAAGAACTTCAAGGAGAGAGGTTCATGTGTTGTGAAGAAGGCTTTCGGGCGCCTAAGAAAGTCCAGCAAGCACCAGAACCATCTCCTAAAGTTGATTCAGCTGTAGGATTGGGGCACCACCAGTGCAGAGCTTGCTCAGAAATGGCATCAGGCCAGTGTGAGTGCATCTGCATGCACAGTGAGGCAAAACATTTTGGAGGATGGCTGTGTGTCAAGAAGAGCAGCAAAGAAGTCACTTCTCTCCAGGAAAAACATCTGGGACAGACTGATATTCTGCACACGGTACAGGGATTGGACTTCTGAGGACTGGGGTAAAATAATTTTCTCTGATGAATCCCCTTTCTGATTGTGTGGAGCATCCGGAAAAATACTTGTCCGGAGAAGAAAAGGTGAGTGGATCGAAATTTTGGGTCCATGGTCAGGAAACTCCCCAGACCTTAATCCCACTGAGTACTTGTGGTTAATCCTCGAGGTGGGTGAACAAAAAAAAACCCCCCACAAATTCTGGCAAACTCCAAGCATTGATTACGCAAGAATGGGCTGCCATCAGTCAGGAAGTGGCCCAGAAGTTGATTGACAGCATGCCAGGGCCAATTGCAGAGGTCTTGAAAGAGAAGGATCAATATTGCAAATATTGACTCTTTACATAAATTTAATGTAGTTTGTCATCAAAAGCCTTTGACACTTATGGAATGCTTGTAATTATACTTCAGTGTAGCATAGTAACATCTGACAAAAAGATCTGAAAACACGGAAGCAGCATACTTTGTGAAAATTAATATTTGTCATTCTCAAAACTTTTGGCCAGGGCTGCATTTCCAGGAGTCCTCCAGGACAGGAGGGATTCCCCCTGACTGTTTTTCATGTTTTCTTTTATTTACGTTCCGTGGTTCTCAGGCTAAGTAATGGCTGGCTGCTGGGATTGTGCTTCCTGCCTTTTGGGGGTGGAGTTGTGCTCTCTTAGGTGCTGTTCTTTGAAGACTCCCAGAAATGGAGGTACTGGTGAGACTAAAGTATGCCATGCATTATGCAAAGTTGTTTCCTTCAACCACAGGTTGAAGGAAAGAATATTACTAGATTTCCTCAGCATTCGGTGTTGATGTTCTGCCGGCAGGAAACCTTTCCCATCTGTGGAATATAGTGATCACTACTGGCGGCTCTAGCCACTGGCAGTGGTCGGGTGAAAAGAAACCTGACCGGCTTGTACTGAAGTTGATTGATGTATCGACTTCAATACTCCTATGCATAACATTTGGTCAGTTCCTGCTGAATCGGGCAAATTTGGATCCATCTAAGGCCGACTTCCAAGAGGGTTTTTCGCCTTCAAGCATTCTATGCATTAAGGTAAAAAAACCTTCAGTGTGCAACTTTCCCCTCAGCCCCCCCTTATACTCCTCTGAACCTGATCCTTATCCAGCTATGTGCATGAGAGCAGAAACTCTCTCGGGTCTCTGTCTCCTCATTGGATGAGACACATGGCTTTTGCTGCTGTCAATCACGGCATAGTGAGAGCTGCATCTGTGATTCTCAGACTCGCAGAACAGATGTGGGTCGGGAGCGAGCATGCACAAAGGCCCCCAGAGCAAGCAGCTTGCTCTGGGGGCAGTCAGCAGTAGGGAGGGGCCTGGAGTACTGGGGGGGGGGGGGGTACCTGAGAAGAGGAGGATCGGAACTGCTCTGTGCAAAACTGTGTAGAGCAGGTAAGTATGACATGTTTTAAAAAAAGAAAAACCACAATTCTGAGCCTTTACAATCACTTTAACCTAATTTTCTCTACACGTATGTTTACAAATCTTACACAAATATGAGGATTCTAAAATATTTAGCTTAGCTTAAATGTTAACTTGACCCTTATTTTTAGGCTTCATGCACACTGGCCTTTTGGCCATCTCTCCTAGACGCCAAAAAATTGCCTCATGCTTGTAAACGCATGTAACGTGTTTAGGCGCATCAGATGATTTAGTGGTAATTCAATTGGCCAGAATAATTTATTCTGGTCATTGAAATTAATGCTCAAGCGATAAACACTCCTAGTGTTTAAATGTGTTTAGGTACGTTTTTAAGTGTGTGTGTTTTTTTTTTTTTTTTTTTTTTTTTCTCTGCCTCCTAAATGCCTATGTGTGCATGTACACATAGGCTAACATGCAAGGGTGTTTAGAGGCAGAAAGACACCCCTAACAGCATTAAAAACATCCAGTGCGCATGAGGCCTCAAACAATTCATTCCTGCAGAGTGGCGTCTGCAGTTCAGTCAGTGGAAGGTGTTTCGCCAGAATTTAAGCCCTCATCGGTAATAGTCTGCAATGCTCCACAGCTAATCCTTAAATAAAAAGGTGTTGCTGAGCCATGGAAATGTTTTTTTAGAATATTTGACCAAGTTCTTATGATTTTGATTAACTGTCACTGGCTATTCATGACTTGGATGACCTGAAATCTTCATAGACTATTTCATAAAAATTTGACCCTGATGAGACCGTTATATTAGACGGGGGGGTCAGCGACCTGCAGATAGCAATCTACCAGTAGAGCTCTGTCTGCGCTTCCTGATCTGCCATCCCAGAGCATCAGAGTGCAATGCTAAGGGACTACTTGTAAAGTTGGAGCTGTAGTAAGGAGCAAGAGCCGCATAAGCTGATGCCTCTTCTGTAGTGCTGACTCCTGTCCAGTGGGGAGATATACCAACTGCACTGCAGAAATGAAGAGATCTTCAGGTCAGTGTGAAGCAATACACTGGGCATAATAGTATAGGGCTGCTTTCACTTTAATGTGCTGTGGTTTACCCACAATGTGGGTGGTGTGTGTGGTGTACCTGCAGCATTCCTGTAGTTTTGCTGCTCTTAGCCTAAACTGAATGCAGAAATTTCAGAAAGTGCACCACACCTGCAAAATATAATATAAGTCTATGGCGAAGCGTAACCAACCCAGCAATGTCCCAGATGCACTGCTCTGCACTGCAGTGCAGGTAAACTGCAGCACAACAGTTCAGAACAGTAAGGGTTCATTTATTTTTTCAGTATGGGGAGGAGGTTGTAAAACCCATAGTTAAGAGGTGCTTTTACCACCCCCGCCCCAACTGCACCCCCTTTAGCTGCAGTGACCAGGGCTGTACACATGCCGAAGCAAGAGTTATATGCCCTGTCAAAGGTTGGTGGGTGTAGCACCTGCCAAGCATGACCCATTCAAGTGAATGAGGCTACTCTGCGAGTGCCCTGCAGCTGTGCAGTACAGCAAATAAGGGGTCAAAGCAGGCAGTGTTATTTTCTTACCACCTGCTTTAACCCCTTAGACCCCACAGAAGCATTCAGTTGTGGGACGCTTGCAGAGTGGCCCCATTTACTTGAATGGGTTGCGATTTGGCAGGTGGTAGCTCCCACCAAATGCAACAGAGGGGTTTATTTCCTGCTGTGCTTGTGTACACCTTTTGGCTGCTGCCTCAGCAGCCAAAGGAGTAGAGATTGGGGGGGTGTTTTTACCACCCTGCAACTTTACGTATGATTTGCCCTAAAGGTGCCGCTGCCGAGTGCAACTAAGGACTCCTTCACAAGTGCAGCAGGCACTGCTGCTCCTCTGAAAAGAAATCTGATTGTGTTTGACAGGTGGTGAGGCAATGTGTTGCCTTCTCACCCCAGATTTTAAACCCATGATTGCCACGCAATACACAGATTGCGACATGGCAGTATGGTAATTAGAGGATTAAATCAGATGTGCAGCCGCTCTGTCTGCAGTGTCTGACAATGGTTTTTTTTCCTCTAGATTTTCGCACAGGAATGATTGAAGTATACTGAACATATATACGGGATTCTGAAGGGTTCCAAAATTGTAACATTTTATTTCTGGTGTGTGTTTTTTATGACGTTTTTCTGTCTTCTTGCTAATTGGCCAGTCCATTGCTTTGTGTCTAGGTTTCAAATTCTAACTCCTTTTTGTTTTATCACTAGAATAAGGAAACAAAGAAAGCTGAATTGGTCAAGGAAAAGCCCAAGAAAAAGCATGAGTTTGAGAAAGAAGTAAAGAAGGAACAAAAAGTGGTAAAAAGTATGCAGCTTTGTTACGCTTTAACACTGTATAAAGGGACAATGTGTTCTTCAAAAAGTTTCAGCACTTTCACATTCACAGCCATCTTCACCACAAAGTGGTGAAGCTGTGCAACAGATGTTGGAACATAGTTTCCATTTGTATAATTGGAGATACGTATACAAATTCATGTAGCAATGATTCCATTGTTACTTTTGCTATATGCACATCAGTTAGTACTGACTATGGAGCCTGACGTAACAAACAACATTGGCAACATTAAAACTCTGGAGTTGTTGGGCTGATCAAAGGCGACATTTCTTAAAGCCACTGTGTGCATCAACCTTCTGTAGATAGACGCTGGTCTCCAGTTAGATGACTTGGACCTTGATGTTCCTTCTGTGCCAGTAAACTGTTCCCAAAAATACTTCGGTATATAGATAATTTTCTGCTACACCGCCATCTATCCTAGAATTCAGAAAACTTGGGATGCTGTGTAAGATCCTACATAAAAACAGAGTGCAGTGATTTGCAAATCCCCATATTTTATTTACTATAGAAAAGCTATCAAATGTTGAAACTGACAAAATGTACTTTTTTACATGGCGTCCCAAAGTTTTTGGAAGTGTGTGTGTATGTATATATGGATGGATAGATAGAGAGAGCGAGCGCGATATATAGATATATAGATATATATAGATATATATATATAGATATATAGAGATATAGATATATATATATATATAGATAGATGGATATATTACACATCCTATCGGTGCACAGGTTCTTGTGGCTGAAGTATCAGTTCACAGAGTTGCTTTGTAAAAAGTGATCCCAAAGTGTATCTTCTGGTGTCCAGATTCAGTGCGAAGCTGGACAGGTTACATATCCAGGACCAGAGACTCCCAAATGTGGGCTGCTGATGCTCTGGTGAAGCAGTGGGGTTAGTGCCATAATTTAAGTATTTCTGCTGTTACAGCTTCTACATCATCTGCTTCACAGAATTTGGGTAAAATTCTTCCTGATAAACCTGATCACCTCAGCCTTGCGTCGTACAATTGTCTGTGGGTGAACCATGGACCCTGCCAAATCAGCCTGACCTGACCACCTGTGGTAAAGTCCAGTCTTTATCCCTTACAATTGCTGGCTTTAAAGGCATGGCTATTGAAGCTAGCGTCTTGGGAGACTGTGCTTTATTGGATTTGTTTTTCCTAGTCCTCTGAAGGCCACAAAGGTAGCTTCCTGGAAGTTATACCATCTGACTTGGATATCTTACATTGCCTGGTATGAGGCTCAGGGGCTTCATTCCAGTAAGCATGTTGTGGGCTAAATTATGGCCTTTCTGCAATCTGCATTTGATCACGGCTTTGAGTACAGTGGTCAGATTTTGGCCTTGGCAGTCCTATCCATTTAGAGCCCCATTGCGTTACATTCCTTGGTGTGCCTTTGTACAAAGGGTAACGTGTATTGTTCCACTGGTCTGGACTTCGCTGACTCTGTGGGACCTGAACCTGTTGATGAAATCATTTTGAACCCACCTGGGATATTCCCTTAGCCTTTCTAAGGAAGTGTAAACAATAAAAAAAAATTGATGACACTCAAAAATAATCAATCTTAAGTAATAAACATCTAATTAAACTGGTTGTGTTTAGGGATGCACTGAAATTTCAGTGGCCGAAACGTTTCAGTCGAAAACACCCCTTTTGGCCAAAATGGAAAAAAAACACCGATACAGGTGCCAAAACCCCCCCGCCCCTTGTCACCGCTGCGGCCACCAGCCGCTGCTCGGTAGTTCATTTAAATGTATGGGCTGTCTTTCCTGGGTATGGCCTGCAGTGGTGTGAACAGAGGGTTAAGATTTACCCGAAGTCGACTACTGTAATTCTTCAGTCTGATTCCAGCTTTGTTCTTCCTCAAGGTGCATGGAAGGGTCACGCTAATTCAAAATCTATTTCTTGATGGATACATCCACTTATTTCAAAAGCATGTGGTCAAACAGGCAAAGTTCCACCATTCTTGTTAAAGGCTCGTTCTACCATGAGTGTTCGTACATCTTAGGCTAATCAGCATTGATATCTCAAGTTTGTAAGGCTGCTACCTGGTCATTGGCTCACATCCCCAACCAAAGGTTGCCTCTGCAGACTGCTGCGTGAGTTTCTAACTGTTCTGGTTTGGTTGCTTGCGGCCTGTTGGCCTTTTGCTGTGTAGCCCTCTCCTCATAATCCTTTTTATTGAGTAGGGACACCCCCTTTTCCTGTTTTTATGGCTTGGAACAAAATTGAAATTTTGGTTAGCTAGTAGGTGTTATGCCAGGTCAGGGATTTCCTGAGGGTTTTTTTTTTCTTTCTTTTTTTTGTGTGTGTTTGTCCAGTGACCTAAATGTGGCAGCGTAACCCTATTGCAAAGGATATGAAGTTACCCTGTGTCCTCTAATGTACTGCAAGAAAAGGACTTTACAGGTAAACCAAAAATCTACTGTGCCAAGGTCCTATTCAAATATCTTTTAATAGGATAAATGGGAAAACAAGTGCTCCTTAAAATGCCAATCATATATACACTATATTGCCAAAAGTATTGGGATATCTGCCTTTACACGTGCCTTTACACGTAGTCCATAGGGTTCAGTATTGAGTTGGCCCACCCTTTGCAGCTATAACAGCTTCAGCTCTTCTGGGAAGGCTGTCCTCAAGGTTTAGGAGTGTGTCTATGGGAATGTTTGACCATTCTTCCAGAAGTGCATTTGTGAGGTCAGGCACTGATGTCGGACAAAAAGGCCTGGCTACCAATCTCCACTCGAATTCATTCCAAAGGTGTTCTGTCAGGTTGAGGTGTAGGCCAGTCAAGTTCCTCCACCCCAAACTCGCTCATCCATGTCTTTATGGACCTTGCTTTGTGCACTGGTGTGCAGTCATGTTGGAACAGGAAGGGGCCATCCCCAAACTGTTCCCACAAAGTTGGGAGCATGAAATTGTCCAAAATGTCTTGGTATGCTGATGCTTTAAGAATTCCCTTCCTTGGAACTAAGGGGCCAAGCCCAACCCCTGAAAAACAACCCCACACCATAATCCCCCGTGCACCAAACTTTATAGTTGGCACAATGCAGGCAGGCAAATACCGTTCTAGCAACTGCCAAACCCAGACACGTCTATCAGATTGCCAGACAGAGAAAAGTGATTTGTCACTCCAGAGAACGTCTCCACTGCTAGAGTCCTGTGGTGGCGTGCTTTCTTTACTGCATCCAATGTTTTGCATTGCACTTGGTGATGTAAGGCTTGGATGCAAATGCTTGGCCATGGAAACCCATTCCATGAAGCTCTCTACGCACTGTTGTGCTAATATGAAGGCTACACAAAGTTTTGGAGGTCTTTAGCTATTGACTCTGCAGACAGTTGGCTACTTCTGCGCACTGTACGCTTCAGCATGCACTAACCCCCGCTCTGTCATTTTACGTGGCCTTCCACTTCGTGTCTGAGTTGCTGTTGTTCCCAGTTGCTGCTACTTTGTTATACTACCACTAATAGTTGACCGTGTAATATTTAGTAGCAAGGAAATTTCACGGATGGACTTATTGCACAGGTGGCAACCTATCCTGGTACCACATACTTATACCTCTACTTATTCAATCTTGGTGTCTAACTAAATAGCCAAGTATAATTGGTGTAGTTACACCTGACATTGAGCCCCAATAGGTTTATATTGAGGTCACATTTTTAAAAATTCTTCTGATGTCCTTTATATATCAATGTACTTGAGCAACTATATTTAGTGTAACATTACAATCTTTGCTACAAATTGTGTTCCTTTAAATTGCTGCAGCTCCCAAAGAACAGAAACATGTGTATGATGCCTTCACCATTTCTCCTGAAGATCGAGCAGAATGCATGGACACCATAAGAAAGAACAAGAGACTTCTGACGTTCGATCCTCAGAAGATTACAAACCTAAAGAAGTAAAGTCAGCATATAAAGAGAGGAGATCTACGCAAGAAGAGACCGACTCATGGACATATGGAGCTTCTGAAGGAGATCAAGAGGTTATGGACACAGTGTATCGCTTGCAGGAAAACTCTGGTATGTGCTTCACTTAGAGTTTATCTCTCTTAAGGGAACAAAGTGGGAAATTATGAAAATAGAATGGGGACTTAGGACATACGCCTTTTTTTTAATGGGTTTTTTTTTTTTCTTTTTGTACAAATTTTTTTGGGATATCTTTCCGTAAAAAGATTTAAAATTAATAAAAAATATTTAAACATTTAGAGAGCTTGACATCACCACAGTCTTTGTAAGATGATTACAGCATGGAAAAAAGTGGTGTTCAAAGTCACTTAAATCCCCTTTCTTCCCCATTCTGATGCTCGGTTTAAACGTCAAGTTTTCCTCTGCCACGTCTACCAAGCAATTGAATAGGTGTACCTAATAAAAGTGCCGTGTGTGTGTGTGTATATGCGCTGTTTTTGTGGACGAACACAGCCCGGTTCAGGAGTGAGCCTGCATGACTAACACCATGGCAAGAAGCTTGCTATGGTGGCAGAAACACTGAAGAGGAGGAGCCAGCGGGGGACCCCAGTAGAGCTTTGTGGCTGCTCTGTGCAGTTCCATTGCACGGAGCAGGTAAGTATAACATGTTTTGTTATTTGTAAGGAGAAAAAAAAAAAGTTGTATCCGCTTTATAATAATGGCAAAATAAAAAAGTATGCATAACAGGCAGACGGACCATATTAATCAAGTTGAAATAAATTCTGGCAAGGGGAGAGGGTGAGAATTGGTTACCTGCACGCTGAGGCTCTTGCCAAGAGCAGTGGTGTTGGAGAGGGGCGTAGTCATGTTGAACCTGTATATTCTGACTCTCCCATAAAGGCCAATTCTGAGAATTTTAAGAGGAAGCTCTAGATGTCATAAGCACAATTTTGGCTGGAGCTGCCTCCATGCTGAGTACTTTCTCACATTTTACATGCTGTTATCTTTAGGTTCACACCAGGAACATGTTACACGTGTATTTTTTGTGAGTAACATACTCCAGGAAAAGGGCTAAATGCACAAATGACGACCTTGTCTGGCAGGGTACATAATATGGCTGATATCAACTCAAGTTCTGGTACTTGCACTGATTTCATTTAACAGAATGTTTTATTGATGACCGAGCTGCATTATTATATTTTTCTTACACCCACCTGTCATAAAGCATAAAAATGGAATAACTGGGATCCCTGTTGTATTTATTGCAATGTCTCTAGAGGGCAAGGCCCAAGTAGCTGGGATGGCAGTAGATTTACAGTTGGAGTGGATGACTTTGGAGGACTTTCAGAGGCATCTTGATGGAGCTGATGAAATCATCCCTAAGGATCCTATCCCTAACAGTAAGTTGTTTTGCTTTTATTACATTTTCTAATGGCCATACATTTTATCAAACTAAATTTTCTTTTGTCTTTTAATCAGGTGCATTGAAAGAGGCTGTCAAAAATGGTGACTACTTAACTGTAAAATATGCACTTAATTCCAAAGAAGAGTACAACTTGGATCAAGAGGTAATAGTCTGGTGTTACTAGTATGAAGTGCTGATACTGCTTTTCAGAAATTATTTTCCATGTTGTTCTAAAATCTTGCTCTTTCTGCTGATTTGTGGATGGTAATGGGGGACAAGTGTAAGGTTTTGAGCACTGCAGAGCATACTTCAGTGTTCTTTTTTTATTGTATGATAGTGTTTTCTCTTCATTCACAAAGTCTACAAAAATATTATGCCTTTTTCCCTTTCTGGGAAAAAGTGTGTCTTCTAGGTAGCCAAGAAGAACAGACCAGTCACATGGCAGGATAGATGCAACTGACTGCATGCAAACTGGGGGAAGAAATAAACACATAAGAGAATGTTTTGACATCACAACATTGCAAGCAATAGCTGAACAATAGGGTGCCTCAAAAAGGACCTCTTATATATTGACCGTTTAAAAACTTACAGTGGATATAAAAAGTCTACCCACCCCTGTTAAAATGTCAGGTTTCTGTGATGTAAAAAAAAGACAGATAATTTCAGATTTTTTTTTTTTTCCACCTTTTTAATGTAACCTAAAAACTGTACAACTCAGATGAACAAGAAGCTGAAATCTTTTATTTGTAGGGAAGTACAAATAAACTAAAATATGGTTGCATAAGTGTGCACACCCTTAAACTAATACTTTTTGTTGAATCGCCTTTTAATTTTATTCCTGCACTGTCTTTTTGGGTATGAGTCTATCAGTATGGCACAACTTGACTTGGCAATATTTACCCACTCTTCCTTGCAAAAACACTCCACATCTGTCAGATTGCGAGAGCATCTCCTGTGCACAGCCCTCTTCAGATCACTCCACAGATTTTCCATCGCATTCAGGTCTAGGCTCTGGCTGGGCCATTCTAAAACTTTAATCTTCTTCTGAAAAAGATTTCAGTTTGTTTTTCAATTGAGTTGTACAGTTTTATAGAGCACATTAAAGGTGGAATAAGTTCTGAAATTATTTCTTTGTCATTTGTTTACATCACAGAAACCTGACATTTTAACGGGTGTGTAGACTTTTTATATTCACTGTAAGTGCAGCCAAATTAAAAAAAACAACAAAAAAAAAGCATTTGTATTTTGGCTGCACTTAGGTCTTAATACATGAAGCATGGAAGAATTTTAATGCAGTATTCAGTGCAAGCCTGGATTTACTAGACCATTTCTACAAAATATCTCCTGAAGACTCCATGTACACAGGATTAAAAAAACGCTGCTCCTAGAGGAAACTAATGTTCTATGTGTCTATGAATTAGGTAGTCTAGAAGTGTTTTTTTTTTTTTTTTTTTTAAGCTCAGAGTTTAGAGTCAGAAAAAAAATCTTTCTGTGTTGCATTTGGCTTGTATTTCTCTGCCAAAAAAAAAACGCTCAAACGCTTATACAAAAAAAAAAACTGTTCAAAGGTATCACTTTTTTTTTCTGCCAAGGGCAGAAATTCTAAATACTTTTTTTCTTTTTTTTTTTTTTTTTCCCTTTTTCCTTAGCTGCAGGTGGGGGTGGAGACTGCAGAGGGGCGTGTCAACAGAGCAAATGCCACTACATAAATCTTCCTAGTAAAGAGCTGTGCAGGATGGCATGTTAGCACAAGTCTGATCATTGTAGGACAGGCAGGCTGTGCTCCCAAGTAGAATGAAAAGAAGAAAACTGACCACACGGGGATAGATGTGCTTTCATGCCCTGGTGTGGTCAATTTGAAATTAGAAAGTAAAGGGAACAGGATACTTCGAACACAAGTACCTTGTACCACCAGAGGCATATCAAGAATATGGAATGGTGGGGCAACATACACTTTAACAACACCCTGTTTTCTATCTGCTGCAGGACTCCAGTGGGATGACTCTGGTGATGATGGCTGCAGCTGCTGGACAGGATGACATTCTCCGTCTTCTGATTAGGAAAGGAGCCAAGATCAATGCCAGGCAAAAAAATGGGACCACAGCACTGATACATGCTGCTGAAAAGGTGGGAAGGTTCTCTTTGAGGTGGTTGGTCTGCTACTTATTTACAAGGGTTTTTTTATATCCAATGTATGTATTTGTTGTGGCGTTTCCTCGAAATTGGTACACTATATACATTTTTATAAAATGTGTGCTTTTTTTTTTTGTAGAAGGGCTGCTATTTGTGCAGCATAGAAAGGAAAACTTTAAAAGCTTGGGGAGGGAGAGGATGTGGTGGCTGTATTAAGGTTAACGTTTCTCTAAAGTTAACACTTTTACCTTAATCCAGGGAATGCATGAAGGTAAAAACACATCCCACTAGTTGTCATGCCTTCCCTCCTCCAACACCTGACTCCTCCACTAATCCAGTCCTGTCTGCAGCTGAGGTGTTCTCTTCTGCTCTCACAAGGGGACACTGCCTTTACAATCACTTTTAATGGATAAGTTCACCTTTTTAACAAAAAATAAATGCATTGTTTTTTTTTCTAGGTAAAGTAAATTGACTAATTTTTTTGTTTTAAGAGCCTGGAAAGCATTGCACCAGGGATCAGCAGATCGCTGGTGCTATGCAGGTCCGTTGCAAAGGTTGTTGGGAATTGTAGTCTCCGACTCTGAGCTCTGAATAAATGATGTGGGTAGACGGCGCCCCTCACAGCTAGTGATAGCTAGTGGAGGGGAAAAGATCCCCCGCTAGATGTCACAACTGGGATCGGGGGAGGGTCCCACAGAACATGTTATATGTTACACCTGAATATGGGTGAACGTATCCTTTTAAAGTATTAGGTTGTATTGTAGATGGGCTACGATCTATGCAGCTGGAAGGATGGCGTTTAGAGTCCCCATAAGTATCTTTATCATGCAGATCTGCTTCTGGGGAGGTACTGGGTACAGCATGTAAGAAAAGTACTGCTTGCATAAATTAAAATGCATGCAGCAACAGAAATGCATTCAAAACATCAGGCAGTGAAGGCTGAGGAAGGTGGTTTTTAGGATCCCTAGATTTGATTCTCCTTGCTCATGGCTCCTTGCTAGTGGCTTTTGCATAGTAAGTACTGTTTACATAGGGGCTTCAGTGGCTAAAGTATTTTCTCTTAATCATACACTTTACAGGACACAGGATGAGTAATCAAGACTGGGCTCTGGCAAAGCTGTAAGAACAGCTCTGTGTAACCCCTATTAATTCCAGCATGCCTCAGTTTTTTGCTAGTGTCTCTAGGAGAACAGATGTCTTTGCTGCTTCTGAAAGAACCAAACCTTTTCTTATCTTCTACTTTTTCTCAAGATTCCCTTTTTCCTCTAGCAAGATGGTTCAGTTAGCTGCAGAACCAGAGACTCTGCAGCTTTTCAGATATGTTGATGCTCAGCACAGCCTTGGAGCCTGTATCCAAACTTTGATGTGAAGTGTGGCTGACCTGTAATGTGCGTTTTCACACTGGACTCTCATACATGCTCTTGAAGTAGTGTGTGAGTTAGACGCAAAGTGCTTTACAGGTGCACCCATCTGGTGGGACCTTATTCTTGAAGACTTCTTAGGGTTTGTGCCTACTCGTAGGGCAGTGGCCATGGGATGGAGCATATCTCCTGGATCCTGCCTACATGTTCCTGTGCTGCATGGTGGGACTGAAGGGCATCTTCAGGCACGTAAGTCTGGACTTTGTCCCTTCTGTGAGCCTGGTATGTGCTTTATATTATATGGACCAAGTCTTTACATGGTTAACACTGGAGCGCTGGCTGCGGCACTTTGGTTACTACAGCACTTTCAGTAGTTACCATTCTGCACATGCATGCGCCATTTTCCAAACACATGTTGAACAACATTTCAACCTTCCTGTCTGCTGTTCAAGGGTGGCTACGTTGCTAGTCAGTAGATACATTGAAGGAGTGCGTGCACCCACCTTTAGATAAACTCGCTATTGCAACTTGTTTTATATAGAAATTAGCTTAATCCTGATGATCTATACTCCCCCCTCGGTGGAAGGACATCCAGGTGCTAAAAGCAGTATTATTTCCCAAACCAAAAATGTAGTCTATTCTAGCCAATTATTTTATGTGGTGGCTGTGCTAGCTTTCCTTTTTAGGCTTTATTGCCTCAGTTTCCACCTTGTGTTTTGGCCGTTAACACACTTGCTGTATTAAGATACCTGCACTCTGGATAAAGGAGCAACTGAGACCCCCTTTAGACAGCATCATTGTCAATCTGGAGGGTGGGTAGTGTTGGGTGTACTTGCAGATTTTAGATAAACTGACAAACTCCAGCTAACACTTTACAGGCGGTTATGGCCACCGTTTTTTGTTCCTTTTTGGGAAAAAGGTTTTACATAAATGAATAAAAGCTAACCATTTTAAGCACCCCCTGTCAGTGATTTGTCTCAACCCTCTTAACTGCTACATCTGCAGAACAGCTTGTTCTGTTGAAAAACAACACACTTACTGGTGAAAATAATGCAGCCATCACATGCTGCAAAATAATAAAGGTTTGATTTTGGGTTTAATAGCGCTTTAAAGATTAAGCGGGTAAAAGGCTATAACCCCTTAGCAAGGTGTTCTTATCCCTCTCAAGCCCTGCTCTGCAACTTACCATTGCTGCCATGTCATTTTGCCAGACCCTGGCTTTCTGCTCCAAGAATATTGCTCAGCATCCTGCATCTATATTAATGGGTTCCTCTGTCCTCCCATTAGCTGGAGCTCATGTCTGTGACTGTTTATGCGCTTGCAGTTAATATTATTATAGAGGATTTATATAGCGCCAACAGTTTGCGCAGTGCTTTATAAAATGAAGGTAGACATTACAGTAACAATTCAATTTGGTACAAGAGGAAACAGAGGTCACTGCTCATTAGAGCTTACAATCTAGGAGGTGCACGTAATGATCAGAAGAAATCTTAGCTTTTTGTGCGCAGGAGACTCTGGCTCAAATCTTGGTCTGTGGAACCGAAGTGCCAAAATAGCAAATAAAGCTGGCAACTTGGTCAACTCTTAATAGACTTTGCTGGTACAGAATGCTAATACGTTTTGGCTAATACAGCCTTCCTCATAGCGTGACGAGATATAAAAACTCAACACTTTTATATTTTCTCAATCTCCCACCTGGGAGGCCGGACTCTAACCATTAAACACAATTTTGTACAAAATGACTGCACATGAAAGATAGCAAACTGCAAAATAGTAACAATCCTACTAAAACACAATCAGCAGAATATTCACAATATACAACATTGCCACAAAATTATTAAATCAATATCCAATCTGTTGTGAAGACAGAAAGGTGCTCTTGTGTGTGAAGTATGGATCCACCATACTTCCTGCTGTAACAAAATGCAATGCAAGTTTCCTTCTCTAGGTTGCCTCTTGTTCTATGCCAAAAAAAGAAAATGAGTCGAGATTACCATTATGTGCTGCATGTCTCTAAATTGTATTGAGACATTTGATATATTTTTGGCATTCTGATTGGTGTCATTGTAATGTTCAGAAATTATTATTCTAAGGGGTCATATGGTGTATCCTACATATTGAGTTTTACAATGGCTGCACTTTATTACGTACACTACTGATTTAGTATTGCAATTCATATACTGCTTAAATAGATAAGCCTCACCATTAGTGAAAGGAACAACCTTAGTGTTCTTTTTATACTTCCTGCAATATCTACATGTGTTTTTAACTGTAACAAGACTTTTTTGTTATGGTTAACCATGTATGAGAATTGGAGGCATTGTCTGAACAAAATAGGCTCTGTGATGGCAAGTTACCTAGTGTATGTGCCCTTCTACTGGAAAAGTTATAGCCATTTTTTTTTTTTTTTTTTTTGCATGGTATGTAATTCTCTTTCTGCATAGGAAATATAATAGGAATAGAAAAGAGAATAGGAAGCTGCAGCTTCACAATATTAATCTGATGGCATTCTGCTGAATGTGATGTCTGGGAATATGACTTGTAATTTATTCATTCACTGTGATTGAAAGGCACAGCTGTGCAGGCAGATTTAAAATATGACTGTGGCTGCAGGGGAGAGGGACTCCTTCCTCTCACAGGGAAAGGTATGTGTGATCATTGTTACAAACTTTATACGGGTGTAACATGTTTATGAGGTGAACCTATCCTTTTTAAAAAGTTATTTAATCACAGGCAAAGTGCATGTTATTTAATTAAGTGCAAATGGCAAACTCAAAATATCACAATGCTGCTTGCTAAATATCTTCGAAATATTAAGCCCAGACAACACTCTTAATACAAATTCAATCAAGAAATGTCTTTTATAAAGTGCATATCCATGACCACAGTCTTCCTTTTCTACCACATGTGACACCTTCACCTTTCTTTACATACACCCCTCCCCTCTTATGGGGATTGACTTAACCAGATTGTTTTTCAGCACAAAGGATATCGGCATAGGTATGTAGGGGGTTTCTGAACACCATACTAAACCCTTTTTGCCTAATGACTTCACTGTACTGTGATCTCTTGACGTGTTTTATTATACACTGATGTTTTCAAAAGTGTATCAAGACTACTCTTAAACGCCAGTGTATGACAAATCATGATGAACAAGATCACAGTAAAGTGACATTACGCAGGAAGGGGTATGTACCCGGAAGTGTAGTTTTGTGTTCAGGAACCCCTACATACCTGTGCTGATACCCTTAATGCTGGGTGAGCACTTACCAAATGTAAGTTTTTAATCTGATGTATGGAAGCAGGGTTGTTGCTTATGGGCATGCACAGCTCAGCTTGGTAGCGTGGTTGTACAGGAGCCTTCTTGGCACTTGGCTTGCTAAAGAAGGCACCCAAAAGAGGGAGGGTGACCACAGCACTTGCGGGGTGCTGTTAAAGACGGTAACAGCAGCCTCTTGCATCCTCTTCTGGAATCCCCCGCTGGCGCTCTCCTCCTCCTCTCCTGCGTGTGACCCCATAGCAAGCCACGTATGGGAGCACACGTGTGGGTGCATTCCTAGTCCATGCTATGTGTGCCCATAGACACACCGTGGGGCTCGGCCCCCCTGGTGGCTCCCGCTGCACTCTTGTGAACCCTGTGGTTCTGGAAAAAGAGCAGCGTTGCTGCAGACGGGCACAGTGTTGGATCATGAGAACACTTGGGTAATTGTTTAAGAGGTTGGGTGGAGAGAACAAGCAGTGGAATGTTTTTTTTTTTTTTCTCTTTTATAATTCTGGTACTGCATTAAGCAAAAAAAAAAAAAAAATAGGGTTCATAACCAGTTAACTATAATGTTACTTTTCTATAAGAGCATTTTTTTTTTTTTTTTTTTTTTTTTAATTTTTGCATTTCCAATGACTTGTATTGAGAGACACAGTTCTGGAGCAAACTAAAGTCTGTCGACATTGACAATAACGTTGTCTTATGAATATTGAATATTGTTTTTCTCCTCATAGAACTATCTGACAACTGTCTCCATCCTTCTGGAAGCTGGTGCTTTTGTGAATTTACAGCAAGCGACTGGGGAAACAGCCCTGATGAAGGTAAATGGTATATTGTGCAAACCTATAAAATTTATTTTGTTTTGCAAAGACCCCGGGTCTATGAAATGCTTCTCTCAGCAGGTTGCAGACAATAGTTGTCTCCCTGGCTCTAGCTGTGTATAAAACCATGTTTTCCTAGTTTTATATTGTCTTCATGATGGCAAAAACTCCTTCCATCCACATTGTTAATTGTCTATTTGTACTAATTTTAATGTTTGTGTTCCCATCATGAAGTTTGTTATATATGGATTATATTTGGTCTATTTTTTGCTAGTACCTTCATTGGTTTTGAAATTAGCAAGCATAATGATTATATGCAAAGATCACAAACATTTTGCTGTTTGCCTGGTCTTGTAATATAAGCCCTGTCCTGTGGTATTAAAATTTAAGGACATTCTGCCAAAATAATCTCCCTACCAGACCCATTGGATGGTGCAAACCCAATTCTTTTTGTGCTCAACAACAAAGTAACAAAAGGCAACATTTCCAAAAATACATGTTTATGTATATAGTGTCAGTGTTCTTTTAACATTTGCTGTCTTCTGTTACTGTGCTTTGTATATCTGTTTTAAAGTGTTTATTTGGGGTACAGCGGACAGTGTTAATCAGAAATAAATTGAAGCCAAAAACCCAATAGGATGTGACTTTGGATAAGTATCAGAGTATATCATATATCCATATATAACAAAATCATTTTTTTTTTCTTGTCTCTCTAGGCATGTAAGAGAGGGAATTATGATATCGTGCGACTCTTGATAGAACAAGGTGCCGACTGTAATGTGCTGTCAAAGCACCAGGGCAATGCTTTACAGTTTGCTAAACAGAGCAATAATGTGCTGCTATTTGAATTAATTAATGGACATTTGGAAAAGTAAGTATTCCTTTTTTATGTGTCATTTGTTCTCTGAAATGATGGTAGATGCTTGTTTGACTGTTTGAGAGACCTGTCTAGCTAAGCAAAAACAGACACTTTGCGATAAAGGGATGTTCTGTTCACAATTGTTTTGGAGCAATACTATCGTACACCGATGATTTTTAAATTTTTTTTATTTTTTTTTGTATTTTCCAATACATAACATACTGATGGGTTATGCCATCTTTGGTAGCAACATAAATTGGATAAGTAAGTGTGCATGGTTTTTTTTCTGAATTGATAAAGGAATTTTTTTTAACAGGTAAATCTAATGTGTTGCATATTATTTTGTAATCACATTTTGAGCCATAGGGGAAGGCTCAGGCTCCTTTTCACTTTTTTCTCCATCTTTGTCCCCGTTTTATATCTAAAACCTGTTTTACAAAGCAACATATTCAACAGGAAATCCACAGACACACAAGTGAATGTGTTGGAGCAGTTACTCTTCTTTGGGATATGTAAAACAGTGTGTCTGCTGTGCTCTTTGGCCAACACACTGTGTTGTAGAAACCCTTTGTTTTGTCTGAAAGTGTTAATCCTAACATTTCATATTCCTTATTTGTGTCTGTGGTACAATGCATGAATGCTTGTATCAAAATGTATCCTGTTCTTTTTGCTTTGCTACCTTTGTGTGAAATACCCAGTGATCCTGTCACTCCTAATGTGGGGTTTTTTTTTTTTTTTTTTTTTTTTTTTTTTTTGTTTTTCTTAAATTGACTATACATGGCAGCACATCCATCCAAGCATGGTCTGTTTTCTTCTTGCATTCTGCTTAGGTGCACAGCCTACCTGTAATCCAATGGGTAGACTTGTGCAAACACCCCCCCCCCCCCCCCCCGCACTGCTCTTCACTGGAAAGATCTGTGGCTATGTGTGTGGAGTTCGGCTCTGCATTTCGGGGCAGTGTTAGTCTTTTTTCTCATACACTGGACTTTTTCATAGACCTTTTTAGACCACCACATTTTGAGATACTCATTTTTTGCGCCATCTGCTACAAATTACTGTTATGTTGCAGCCTGACACTACAGCTGTTTAAATTCATTTTTTTCTCAATCTACACTCCGTACCCATCATGACAAAGTTGAAACGGAATTTTAGAAATGTTTGCAAATGTATTAAGAAAGGAAAAACTGAAATATCACATTGGCATAAGTATTCAGACCCTTTACGCAGTATTTTGTTGAAGCACCTTGGGCAGTAATTACAGCCTCGAATCTTACATAGTCTGGCTGAAAAAAGACAAAAATCCATCCAGTTCAACCATAAATAAAAGTAACAATCCTACACCCACAATTGATCTAGAGGAAGGCAAAAAACCCAGCAAAGCATGATTCCATTTGCTCCTGTAGGGGAAAAAATTCCTTCCTGATCCCCGCGAGAGAGAGGCAATCGGATATTGCCTGGATCAATTTTACCTATAAATGTTAGTAACCAGTTATATTGTGTGTATCCAAGGAAGAATCCAGTCCTTCTTCTTCCTTTTTTTTTTTTTTTTTAAATTGTTGGGAGGAGTCTATTCCACATTTTCACAGCTCTTACTGTGAAGAAACCTTTCAGTATTTGTAGATTAAATCTTTTTCCTCCAGGCATTTAGAGTGCCCCCTTGCCCTCTGTGATGATCTCAGGCTGAATAACAGCTTCCGCGTTCACTATATGAACCGCTGATAGATATAGAGAGAGAGATAGATGTCATATCCCCCCTTAATCTCCCTTCTTCAAGAGAGAAATTAAATTCCTTTAATCTTTCCTCCATGCCTCTTATCAGTTTGGTTGCCCTTCTCTGAACTTTTTCCAGTTCCAAAACTGAACTGCATATTCCAGATGAGGTCTTACTAATGATTTGTACAGGGTAATATGATATCTCTCTCTGGAGTCTATACCTCTTTTAATACAAGAGAGGATTTTGCTGGCTTTAGAAACCGCAGCTTGGCATTGCATGCCATTATTAAGCTTGTGATCTACCAGAACTCCCAGATCCTTCACCACCATTGATTCCCCCAGTTGTACCCCCCTAGTATGTATGATGCATGCATATTCTTAGCCCCCCAAGTACATAACCTTACATTTTATCAACATTCAACCTCATTTGCCACATAGTTGCCCAATTAAACAGTGCATTGAGGTCGGCTTGTAAGTTGGAGATATCCTGTAAGGATGTTATTCCACTGCACAGCTTGGTGTCATCTGCAAAGACTGAAATGGGATTTTTAATCCCAGACCCTATATCGTTCATAAATATATTATAAAGTATGGGTCCGAACACTGAACCTTTTGGGTACACCACTGACAACACATTAGCCATGTGTGGAGAACTGTGGCAAACTCTTTTGCAAAATCCATGTCCACAGCCACCCTTCTGATTTCTTTTTTATGAGGTGTGAAAAACCTTGGAAAGATTTGTTTGATAACTTCTGTCTTTCATGAATCCATGCTGTCTGTTGTTTGACACTCGCCGTTGTGACTGGGCGTCATATGACGTCCTGTCAAAATGAGCCACTCACGCAGCTGCGTGGCTATGCAGCGGGGTAATCTGTCATCTGCTGTGTCCATGGGACACAGCTGATGACACATCACTACACTGGCCTGTTGCCAGTGTCATGTGACAGATGTGACTGGTCAAAGCATTCACATGATACAGACAGGGCCATTCACAGCCCATCTGTATCGTGATCAGCTTTGCCCAACCACAGCTAATCGCAACAAAAGACTGAATGAATCAGTTTCATTCAGTAACAATGATTGCAAATATCAATTAAATACATTGGTATTAGCAATCCTAATGTGTTTTAAAAGAAAAAAAAAATCCTGATCACTTGTCCAGAGTAGTTCAATGTTACTGTGGTAACATTGTATTGCTTTGGCCACAGTGTGTGTTGAAATAAAAAATATAAAAAAAAGAAAAGTGTTATAAAAAAAAAAAAGAAACATTTGAAAAAAAAAAAAATACAAATTATTTTTATTATTTTCACCAAAGAAATGTAGCGGAATACATTTTGACCTAAATTTTATGAAGAAATGTATGTTTGCAAAATTGTGTGTTATTTTTTTTCAAAAGTTTCAGGTTTTTTTTTTTTTTTTTGTTTAGTAAAAAATAAACTCAGTGGTGAATAAATACCACCAAACGAAAGCTCTATTTGTGTGAAACAAATTATAAAAATGTCATATGGGTACAGTGTTGCATGACCACGCAATTGTCATTCAAACTGTGACAGCTCTGAAAGCTGAAAATTGGCCTGAGCAGGAAGGGAGTAAAAGTACCCGGTATTGATGTGGTTAAAATATTTTTTTCCAGCAAGAACCCATCTATGTGATCTTTTATTAAACTCTCCAGTATCTTCCCAACTATAGAAGTTAAACTAACATGTCTAGCTTGGTAAAGCTTTTGACCCCTTTTAAAATATAGGCACCACTTTACGCCAAACAAGTGGTACTGTGCCAGTCATTAGAGTCCCAAAAAATTGGAAACAGTGGCTTTGAAATGACAGAGCTCAATTCTTTAAGGACCCGTGGGTGTATGCCATTCGGTCCAGCTGCTTTTATTCACCTTTTATTCTGTCTAAATATTTCTGGATTATATCAATTGTGAGCCACTGTGGACAGATGATCCACCTGGACCGGATGTCAACACCATGCCCATTATGTACAAGAGCTCCCCCATGCTCCTTTTGTATACACAGCTGAAGAATCTTCTTTGCAAATCTTCTCAAGCTCAGGTTGGATGGGGACCATCGGACAGCAATTTTCAGGTCTCTTCAGAGATGTTTAAGTCAGGGCCCTGGCTGGGCCACTCTAGGGAATGCACAGAGTTGTCCCTAAGCCATTCCTGTGTTTTCTTGGCTGTGTGCTTAGGATCGTTGTCATGTTGGAATGTGAACTTTCAGCCCAATCTGAGGTCCTGAGTGCCATGGAACAGGTTTTCAGTGAGACTATCTCTGTACTTTGCTTCCCTCAACCCTGACCACGCTCTCAGTCCCTGCTACTAGGAAACATCCCCGAAGCATAATGTTGCCACCATCAATCTTCACTGCTGGGATGATATTGGGCAGTTGATGAGCAGTGCCTGGTTTCCTCCAGACATAACATTTAGAATTGAGGTCAAACAATTCAATCTTGGTTTCAGCAGACCAGAAAATCTTGTTCCTCACAGTCTGCAAAAAAAAAATACACCTACAGGACTCTCAAACTCCAAGTGGGCATTCATGTGGCTTGCACTGAGAGACTTCCATCTAGCCACTCTGCCATAAATTGGTGAAGGGCTGCAGTTATGGTTATCCTTCACATCTTACTAAGACCCTTCTCCCCGATTGCTCAGTTTGGCCAGATGATCAGCTCTTAGAGTCCTATTTGTGCCAAACATCTTCCATTTGAGAATTATGGACTGTGCTCTTGGGAACCTTCAATCCAGCAGACCTTTTTCTGTATCCTTCCCCAGATCTGTGCCCTGCAGTAATATTGATTCGGATTGCACATGCATTGTCAGCTGTGAGGCCTTTTATAGAGCGGTGTGTGCGTTTCCAAATTTCCAATTAATTTAATTTACAACAGGTGGACTTAATCAAGATGTCAGCAATGATCAAGAGAAATGGGAGGCACCCGTGCTAAATTTCAAATGTCGCGCATGGTCTGAATACTTAAGCCAATATGATATTTCAGTCTTTCCTTTTTCATAAATTCACAGACATTTCTAAAATTCAGTTTTTCACTTTGTCATTATGGGGTACTAAGTTTAGATTAATGAGAAAGTTATGGATTTTAAACATCTGTATCAGGCTGCAACCTAACGAAATTGAAAAAGTGAAGGGAGTTTAAATACTTTACACTTAATGCACTTTACCTACAATAGATGACAACTGCTGATGTGGAAGTTTTACCTCACAACTTTTTGAGAGGGTTGCAACACTGAAATGTTGGCAAAAAGACCAATGGGCCTGGCAGTTGGCACTTTTCCTGATAGGTGA